ATTAATTTTATAAATCTTTAATACATATGTACTTAATTTATGCAAGCACAATGCAAAGACAAACTACTTCTAATACCAAAAGCTTCATTTATTAAAAAAAAAAAAAGGCTTAAAGAGATTTTGTTTTTGTCCTGAAGAAATAAAGCATGAGCACCACTTCCAAGTACATGGCAGCCATGAAATGAAATTCCTAGGTTTCAAAAGTCAGGGGAACCCATTTTATAATATAGTTTTTTTAAGCATTACAGTAATAATATCTCTTGGATAAGAACAAATCAGTACCAAATTTCACAGTAAAGAGCAAGAATCCAATGTATTTTCAAAGGCCTACAGAGGCAGTTATTTCCACTTATATCCTATACTAACATAACAGAAACACATATAGTCCCAAGTTTATAAAATGTGCACTGAAGAATTTCAAATCAACAGGACTCAAAAATTCAAGAATTAACACTGTCTGATAATTCTTTGGGAAAAAATTTAATCTGGGCAATGAGTCCATTTTTGGTTTGTCAATTCTGAGGAAGAGATGTGACTTTTAGAAGTCATTACCTCTCACATTAGCTAGGCTGACACTGGTGGGATTGGTTTCATGGAGTCATAGCTCTATTCTTTCAAGTGACCCAGCAATCCCTTTCTTCACAAAAGGAGGGAAAAAGAGAGGCAAACAGCACAAGAGAAAGTGCCCCGACACAATCCAGCAGCCTACATGTACAGGAAAGGAGAATTCTAAAATGCTGAAACCCCAGGTCCAAAGCAGCACTGACAAGTATGCCATCCCTTTAATGAATGAGTCTGGCTCCTCATGTATACAACTAGGTTAATAATACCAGCCTTCATATACCCAGTGAAAATGGAATGACAATGATTTGAATGCAGATACATTATAAAGAGTAAAATCCCATGAAAATGTCAGTTAATATTAAAGTGAGAGGGATCCAGCAGTGTATTCTTCTACCTTTGAATCCTAAGCCCCAGAGGCTCAGCATCATCTGTACTGTTGCCCATGAAAGACAAAGTCAACACAGTTCATCTTTGAGGCTGAGTTAGAGGAAAATCAAAAGCAGAGTAGTCCTGAGTATCAAGAACTTAAACTGGCAGACCTGAAAAGCTAGAGGTTCAGAATATTCTTATTTTAAAATGGAAGCCAGTAGAGAAGTATCAGTGGAAAATGGGATCTGATAAATAAAGTGTGACTTGATAGCTGACTTGACTCAAACTTTCTTAAAAGTCTCTATATATCAGTAATACAAACATTTGCCTTAGTGTTTAAATATTTATTGGTTGGCACTGATAACATGCAGCCAATCATCTTGCTTTTGGTTACAAAGAAAAGCAAATGGGAAGAAAGATCAGCATGGGCCTATTATCAATACTAGAAAAACAAAGGGCACACCCCTCTCACTGATTAGGAGTCAAGAAAGTCATCTTTGCATAGTCAGTAATGACGCATTTTTATTTATTCCTGCCTGGCTCATGCTTAAAAAAAAAAACCCAACAACGAAAAAAAAAAAAAACAAGAAAAGAAAAGAAGAGAAAAAAGAAAAGAAAGAAAAAAATGATTTTAAATGGTGAATGGCCATTAATACTAAAAAAAATTTAGCATCACTTATTTTCATTATATTTATTTACATACAATCTTGTTCCACAATGCATTTAGGAAGTTGGATTTGATTTCTTAGTAAATTTTGTAACCTTCTTACTAAAAGTCTTGTTATATGTTTTATATAACGATGATAAATAGAAACTGCACAGCACAATGCCTGGAACATAGAAAGCAACTCATAAAATGCAGTTATTATTCGCATTAGGCTATAAATCGTATCAGGGAATGGACTGTCTTGCTAAGTCTTGTTTAGCACTCTATCGCAAGAAACCTCGCCTGCTATCTGGTCCACAGCAGGTATTCAATAAATACTATTTAATCAATGATTGGATATGATTTAAGAATAATTCTCAACTCTCACCTATTTTATGGTTCCCAGAGCCCCACCTCCTGTAATCAATGGCAAGGGTCTGGAAAACCGATAACCCAGAGGAAAGGCATTTAAGTTCCTGTTTATATTTCCTTAAACTCACCACAAAGATTCTCCGCCCCTTCTGTCCCACAACCACAAAATCAATGCTTTGCAACAACGTATTCTCAAACGATTCTGCTTCATTTCCCCTCACTGACAGTACACAAAGTTCCTTAAAATTGCAAGACTTAGTTTAGTTCCCTTTACACCTTAAAAAGGAAAGGCATATTTGCAAAACTATCAATTCCCAAATTTCTGGTCTGATTTCTTGATCTTTGATTCACAGTTGGTTATCCCACAGGTTACTACATTTTTGCCTTCTTACTATATATTTAGTACAAATTAAATACTGAAAATCAGCTTAATATTTTTAAAATTTTGTAAGTTACACATCAAAGTGTATCACACTTCAGAACAATCAAATTAGGAAACTGACACATTATTTCAGTAATGTTGTATTCCTTGAAATACTTTTCAGAGCTTTTAACAGAACAGACTTCAGATCCAGTTCTACAAGTCACACAAGAAATTCTGTGTCACTACTTTGTAGTTACAACTCCTATCTGACCTAAAACGGTATCACCAACCTGACTGCCTAACCTTTTCCACCAGACTTGAGTCCAGATTCTGTAAATTATTTGGATTCAATTTGATTTTGTTATTTCCTGAAATTGAATCTGCTCTCAAAAAAATGAAGATGGTGAAAAATAACAGAGGTTACTGAATGGATTCTAAGAGAAATTAAAAAAAAAGTTTTTTACCACACCTGAAAACTACTAATTGGAAGAACTTCAAATAACTACTCTGAATGAGAAAACACTTGTAAATCTAAATTCTGATATTTTCAATCCAACATGTTACATTTGTTTACTGTCAATTGTCAGATATCGGTTGTTACTTTACTCCATCGATATTAAAACAATCTCTGCCTGCATGGAAAGATATGAGAAACTTAACAGTGGTTGTCTCTGAGGAAAGGAATAGCAAGGCTGGAGACTAAGGAAAGACTTTTCACTGACTATCCTTGTGTATTTTTTGAATTTTACACAATGTGAATGCATTATCTACTTTTAAAAACCTGTTTTAACAAAATTACTTCTAAGTGTCAGATACTGCTGAAGTCTATAAACCAGAAAAGTATAGTAGTAAAAAAAAAAAAAAGTCATGTTCATTTTAATGGCAGTTTGCTGTAAATGTGGGTCTCCAGTGCCAGGGCAGTGTTTCACACCAGCAGCAGGAAATCTTGCAAGCAGTTCTTTTCAAGTTCACTAAGCTCCCCATAGTTGAGCTATTCTGCTGTATCACTCCATTAAAGCTTAAACATCATTGGAAATAAAAACTTAAGACTACAAAAATTAAAGTGTCAACTCAAGAATGAAAAATGGAGGTGAACTAATGAGCTATTAAAGAAGCAATGATCCAAGCACATTTTCCAAAATTAGTAAATCAACAGCACATGTACATATATGTATGGTAAAATGCTGCAAATTCCCTTGAAATATATAAACTGCCATACTATAAAAACGGGAAAAAGATGTCAAGCATAGTGCCATCAGCAACATAACTCAAGCAGCCTGAACTAGAAAATGCAACATGATCTGCTGCTGGACACAATTGCACAATCTCAATTACCCAGAAGATTCTACCAAACAGGAAATTCATGCTGGGACTTTAAGAAACACAGGAATTATATTTAAAGATTAACGCATCTAAAAGCCTGGAATTTGTGCCAGAACAAAAAAATAATATTGTAGACCTCTTCAAACAATGCAGGCACATGAATTATATGAATTAGCTTCAGATCAGGAGCTTTCAAATGACAGTAAACCTAAAATACAGTGTATAAAACTTTGGAAGTTACAGAAGTTAGTGAACTATTTCACGTCCTGAAGTTTTATGGTATCATTTAATTTAAAACACATTCACAGTGTGAATTAAAGCTGAAAGCGTCTCTTCCTTCCTTTTCTATATACTCCATATCCTTACGAAAACTACTGTGTACCTCAGCTTAAGTGTAAATTAAGTCCCCTGCAAACTCTCTAAGGGACTTTAAACACACAGTATTTCACAAGAATTATCGCAATTAAAAAAATATTTACAATTCCTCCCAGCATTGTTAACTTTTTGATCTTGAGGGCGTCCAACGGATCTGAATCTCACTTGCTCCAAAGGAGAAAATTGTTTTGTCAAACAATACTTAAATGAGCAGTGGTATGTGACTAATCAGTGAGGCCGCCAGTTTCTCAAGCTGCAGTGTGTTTGCAGGCATTAACACCCACCCCCCACTCTATGAAAAGGAAATACGCTTTCAACTGAATCGGAAACACACCACTCAAACTGGCACAGTGCGCACCGAGATAAAGTCGGTATTTTAAGCCCTATGGATAGCTGCTAACTCAAGTGCGAATTCAAAAAGAACGCTTCTTAAAATGGGATTTCGACAGAGGTTTGCAAAAAAAAAAAAAAAAATCCAGACAGAACGCCCTTCGTCCTCAGTTCTGTTTAGATGACCGCAGTCTCCCAGTCGAGCTTTGCCCTTCTGCTTCTCCCGGCAGCTCCCCGGGCTTGTCTGCGCCGAAGGCAGGCTCCAGCGCCCAGGGTGGACGCATCTCGACAGTCTTTCTGCTCCATGCCAGCAGGGAGACCCTCAAAGAGAGCCCCCCGTTCTTGCCCCCGGAGCAGCAAACCCCACCTCCCAAGAAGGGAATGCGCAGGGTGCGAGCCAGGGCCGGGCTCCAACACCATCACCCACCGCCCACCGTGGACCTGAGTCCTGCACACAGCTGACCGTCGACATGGGTGTGCAGGGTGAGGCGTGCAAAGGGTATCTGGAGTGTAGTACAGGGGTCCTAGGCGCAGGGATGCCCTACCCCAAGGAAAATTCCTGCCGCTTGGTGCATTGCTGAGCCATGGGGGCAGGCCTGGCTCTGGGGTACGAAGGACCATCCAGTCAATCGAGGCCCCAGGCCCGATGACACTCACCACACGGAGCCATAGGCGCCGGAGCCCACCGGGGACAGGTTCTGGTAACGCTCGGGCACCTCCCAGATTGTCTTGTTCAGCTCCTGCCGGTAGAACGTGGGCCTCTCCCTGAGACATCTTCCAGCGGCGGCCGTAGGGCAAGGAGGTGGCCCTGCGGGGCCCCGCCTGCGCCCGCACCCGCTCCTCTGATGTACGGTACAGCAGCCATCGATATTAAAACAATCTCTGCCTGCATGGAAAGATATGAGAAACTTAACAGTGGTTGTCTCTGAGGAAAGGAATAGCAAGGCTGGAGACTAAGGAAAGACTTTTCACTGACTATCCTTGTGTATT